AAGTTTGTCCTGCTGTTGGAGACCTCTCGTATCCCCCCCACCTGGGTCAATGTGGCTGACTGTTCCTCTGTCTGGCTTCCTGTCTTTTAATCCTCTTTCTCCTGCTCTTCTGGCCTGCTTCTTTGGGCATCCCTGAGTTTCCCCTCCTCACCTATGTTAATAGGCATGAATATTTTCCCTACAAAATATTCATATATTTCTAAGCACAAATCAAGACACTTTATCTTAGAAGGCAGAGATTTATAGGGAAAATAGGACAGAGTGTTGAAAATTGAGATTGTCCCAGAAAATCTGGAACATCTAGTCACCATTTTGATGGACCAATTAATTTTGGAAAGGAACAAAGAATATATCTAAATCTTTAGGGTCCTACTTTGATCCTTAGAGAGACTATTTTAAACCTTTTTTAAATGAGATTTTCATAGAATAGTCATTAAAGGAAGAAATTATTTACACTTAATTTATTTCAGAGTATTTCTATCCTTTTTAATATTTCATCAACTTACTCTTTTAGAAATTATTCTTTTCTCACCATTTTCTATTTTAACTTCTGTTTTCTTTCAATTTCAGATTTGTTGAGTGTATCTGCTCCTACCTTTCCTTTTTAAATTATACATATATATTTTTTTTTTCTTTTCCTTCTTTTTCTTTGCCATATACCAATGTCACTATTTTCTTTAGTGTTTCAAATTAATAGTCAGGATTAGCACAAGGCCTGAAGCTTTATATTATATTATTTTCATAGTTCTGAAAAAGTAAAATATATTTTTTATTTTTAATGTTTTAAATAAATCCTTTTACATTATATAAATTAAATTATACAAAAAGCAGTCTGTGACAAGACTAATTTCTTCCCCAGACTTCTAGTCCCTCCAATTAACAGACTCAGGAAAGGTCACTTCCATTATTTGTATGGTTGTTTAGGCTGCCTGCAAATTAGTTATCTCAGCTCCCCCATTTAGACCCTGCATTTGGTGAAAGAAATAATGAAACCATTGATTTGATAGCTGAGGTAATGGAAACCACAGTATTGGTTGGCCTTTGGGTTCTGTCAGTGGCATACATACCTGCCCTAACTGGCATTGCACCTGAACAACAAACCACTAAGTTATATATATGACGACATTTTCTTGATACAAGTACAATTCCCAAACCACTACCTGCTAAAATCCCACAAATGGCAAACTGGTAAAGAAAGCTTACTGAATGTAGACTCTTTCAGAGGGCTTGAACTGGAGCTGCTGCAGTTATCTGAAATGTCCAACTCATCATCTAGCTCGGAAAATATATCTGCACATTAATTGAAAAAAAAAAAAAGGAAATGAATGAACCTTGAAGCAGAATGGAGTTGAGAGTGTGTTCAATGCCCATAACTTTTCATTAGGAGCACCTTTCTCGATATTTTCCAGGTTGAAGTTATCATCTGACAGGATTTCGTCACAGGCCCTGTCTTCGTCCTTACCACAAGGGGCCTGGAAGCCTTCAGGTGGCAGGTCTGTGCTGCTTTCTGAAAGCTCACTCTTCAGGCTGGCTGCTCCACTGCTGCTGCTACTTAAGCTTGCCTTCTCAAACGTTTCCTGGAAAGAGAAATTCCATTTTTATTAGTAGCTTCTTCTTTCCTTCCTTCTGTAGGACTTACAGCTTGCTACAACATCTACTAAAATGCTTTAAATGTTATTATTTAATACTTTATGCAAAAGTAGAATTAGCAATTCTACCAATGAATTTGCTATGGAATCCATTCAGTCTACAACCACAAAAGGAGAAGAAATCAGTCTGCAAACTACCATTGGACAAGAAAGAATAATGTGACAAGAGTGCTCAGTGCAAAGACATCCAGAGTGTGGTAAAAGAAAAGGTACCACAAGGAATAGGTTTACCTCTTTTAAGTTATTTTAAAAATATTTGCTACTATATCTGGTAAGTAAGGCTTTTTCTACAAACCTCAGTCTCAAGGGAAATTAGCAGAAGCCTGGACAAAGAGAAGTGCATTCCTTGAAAAACGAACAGTTGCAATGAAGGGGGCTTTCAAACTACTTGGGACTCCACAGTATTGCCACACATGAACCCTCTGTGTGTAGGCTACTCCAGAATCCTCCAAAGCTGATGTGAGCCCTCTTTTTTATGATGACACCACAAGGTCATTGACCTCACTGTGTGTTTTCAGATTCCTAAATGGTATTATTTAGAAACTACAAAATTGCATCTTCTGAAGGTTCATTAAGAAAAAAAGAAAAAAAAAAAGGATTAATTTAATCCCACTGAATGCTGGAAGCTTTGATTTTTCTAAGAAAAACTACATATAACTCAGCACAAAATTACCTTTTGTTTATTTACTGAAGCAGTTCTCAACAATTAAGATGTTCACTGTGTGGGCTAGTTTGTGGTCAGGTGGAGAACGTTCTTAGACTGTGTGGCTAAGTGGTGATGACAAACCTAACAAACCAGAGAAAAAGACAGAGGAAACAAGACTGTGAAGCAGGAGAGAATCAGAGTTGGAGAGTGTGACAGGAATGTTAAAAGGCTGCATTCATTGAAGGGGAAAGAATTGCACCCATGAACTGCCTTAGAGATTGTTTGGTCACAACACCCTTTGGAGAGATAGGTTTGTGTTTGTTTATTTATTTTTCAAATACTTTTTAATTAAAGTGACATCCACAGCCTCAAGGGGAAGGTCTCTAGAAACTTGTAGTGGTAGAATTTGCATGTGTAGAATTTAAGACTTTATGGGAGAAAGAAGTAGACCTCTGAAAGCTGTCATGTTTCTATGTCACATGCGCACTAAGGAAGACAAAAAAAGAAAAAAAAAATCAAAGATATTCTGTGTATCTTAAATAAGTATTACTGTAAACTATCCAATCAATTTCTGCTTATTATCTCTTTTTCCTAAGAGTCTTATCAGTGTTCCTTTCCTCACAGTTTTATCAGGATACTTAGAGATATATCTTACTTTATTGAAGCTAATACGCACATGAAGGAGCATTTTAATTTTGTGTGTCTAGTTCTCCATCCATTGTTTCTTTAGGGCTCCTAATATTTCTTTTATGACACAAAACTATTAATTCATGTTTCCTGGGTCCATCCTGATCTGCTAATTAGAATCTAAGATGGAATTGCCTTACCCACTGCTATCAAGTTTATTCTGACTCATAGCAACCCTTACTGAGTTTCCAAGGCTGTAAATCTGTATGGAAGTAGATTGCCTCATTTTCCTTCTGTGAAGCAGCTGGTGGGTTTGATCTGCAGACCTTTTGGTTAGCAGCCAAATGCCGTGTCTTGAGTATCCTGTATTTAATACACTCAGCAAAACTGAATGAATGCGTCTCAGAAAAACTGTAATGCCTAAGGTTAGTAAGGGGCTTCCAATGCCAGTCTCAATTCTGCCCAAAACTGTATTGCAAAACTCATTTAGCCTCCTCCAAACCCTACTTTTTCTGTCTCCAACCCTTCTTCTAATTATCCTCAACTGAAGTCATTAGAAATCTGCATAGAAATAAAGATACAATTTAGGACTTCCCCTCTTTAAGACTTTTATTATTATGAACAAGTAATCTCCTGCCTTATTCTAAAGACCACAACCTGGATAATTCATCAAAATACTACAAGGAATTGGTTCAATGGCAACTGGCTTGGTAAGAACTACATATCCAAGATGTCTCAGTGCTATCAATGGTGAAACAAAGATGAGAGGTAATTTGTGAGTTGAAATAACTTTTTACTGCATTGATGTAGTTAAGTGCTGAAATCCATTTCTCTTAAACTAGCAATACTTCAGCAAAGGCTTTCTCTCTTTCTTAAGAACAAGCATGGATAAGACATCAGTGGAAGACATTTTTCTTTGTACAAATCAAGAGCAAGGAAAAGCTGGGATTGTCAATACAAATGATTCTAGACTTGAAAAGGTTTAACTTGCAACCAATACCTAAGAACAAGTTGGGTTATAAATCAAAGGTCACTTGCAACTGCCCAAACTACATCCATATATAATGGGATTATGTTTGCTTACAACCTAGAAGAGAAATTCTTTCAGACTCTGTAAGTATGAAAGGTAGGGTAAAGTAACACAGACTGCATAGTTTGTTTTGGTTTAAAACATTGACTTCGAAAATAATCTCATGCAGAAGTTTTTGCTTCAAAAAAACTTATCTAGTCTTTAAACTTGCCATAAGCTATATGGAGCTGTAAGCATACTTCCCTAGTATGATTTCTAGAGTTTTTCATTTTGAATATGTGGGTCTTCAACTCATTATTCAATTTGCTTCTTAAAGAACTCAGAGTTATTTTTGTCCCTTGTAAATCCCTCAGATGCCTTGCATACCCTGTTCCTTGCATGATACTTGGCACACAGCAAATGCTCAACAAATTGTTGCTGTATTGAGACTAAAGGGAGAGAAGGACCAGAAAAGCAGGCAAAGTAACTTATAGGATGAAAGGGTATTGTGATTTCTGTGGGGTTTTGTTTGTTTGTTTGTTTTTATTTTTCTTGTCCCTTGATACAGGAGCCTACATTGTGAAGCTTCTCTAAGAACTGAAGGTACTATTTGGTGATAAATTCCCCATGCACTTTGAGTAGTTCTGAGGCTCAACTGCCTTAAAGGTGACCAGTTCAGTAATCAGCCTCTATAACCCAAGAGACACTGGCTAAAGGCAGTGCATGGTTGACAGCTTTTGCTCTGGGAGATGAGACCATAAAGATATTTTCAGAAATAAACCTTGAGTAAATACATAAGGGAGTTAGACAAAAGAGTTAGACAAAAGAGGTGTAGACTTGGGGGAGGGAATTTGGCTCTGTCATCTTTTTTTATTTTCTAATTACTTAGCATATTTTAAGGAGTAAGAGGGAGTTAACTAGGTGCGTTCAGCATTTGCACCTCCTAGGAACGGATGGACACATTCAGTATATTAATATGGCAGCAAGGAAAACACAATGCAAATCAGACAAAATTATCACTGATATGGAAATCATCACCATGATAGAAGACTGCCTGTCAGAGTGCTAGTATGGGTACAATTATGTTTAGCTCAGTTTTTCTCATTATAATGTAATTTTTTTTATGTGTGCAGCAGCTCATAATACATTTTTAGTTGAATAGCAATTCTAACAGTAACATACTGACAGTGCCCAAATTAACTGTGGCAGCAAGGAAAGAAAAAAAGAGAGCTTATTTTATTAAAATGAGTGCAATTTTAAAAATTGCCAAGAATGTTAATTTTACGGGAAGAAAGAGCATAAGAAAAGTAAGAGATAAATATAAAGCACAACACCAGCTAGATCCTAATGAGTCTTTACTTTAGAATGATAAAAAGCACTATTTCCACTATTTCTTTTGTGCTATGAAATATTCATATTCTATTTGTGCTATATCTCAACCTACTTTCTTCCATTTCCTTAGTTAATAACCGTGTCCTCAAATACATAAATTTAGGGCACCAGGTGATTGACAGAAATTCACCTGGCCTAGGTGATCTTTTATCAGTGGTAACCACGTTCTGCACTTTTTATGGATGACAGCACGAGAAAATTCAAAATAAGAGGTGGATCACTGCCTGCCTATTATTGTACATAAACTTGGTCCCTATAATTCAAAGTATACAAAAAATCAGCCAGTGTCGTCAGCTGGCTGAAGGTGCCATGCAGACTCAGACACAGCTGCATGAATTACGCACCAGAGCTGGGGAAATGTGAGGCTCTTCTCTGGGACCTTTGTCTGAAAGGCTTGGCCATGCTACCTCAGTGGATAGGTGACAAAAAAAGTCCAGAGGCTGGGAACTTGCTATGACAGATCAAAATCTTTCAGCTCCAAACATATTTGGATGATAAATCTTGCTGAAATTTTGTTTGTGAAATCCTGAAGCATCTTCCCTCTTCACATGCTCCACATATCAAGTAGAAGAGCAGTAATGTTAAAATTAAACTAAAAAATTGGGTGTTTTAGGGCCCTGTAAATAAATTTATAAAGTTTGTATAATAAAGGGAAATACTCTCCTTAAGTTTGGATCTTAATTATTAAGTTTTACTTTGAACTTCTTAACAAAAATATTCATATAATGCTAAAAATTAATGTTCATTATAAATAATTTTGCTCCCATAATTATGATCCCATTATTATCATTATAGTATCTTAATTAGAACTTCTTGAAAGTACTACTGTATATTAATCAGCTATCACTAAATGAAATAAATTAAGGCATGGATTGATCATTAAAATTCAATCTAAAAATCCAGTATCAAATTTACCATGCTTGATAGTATCTGACATATCCTCTGCCACTCATTACTAAGCTAATATCAGCAAAGGGTCCTCTATTATTCCTAGTTGAAAGATAGGTTTTCTATAATTAATAACACTAAAAGACAGAAGAATATTGTTATAATCTGAAATTATCACTTACTAAAAATACATTAGATACAATATACAACATTTACTGATGACCATTTTGTTCCAAGACTGCAGACTAAACTACAAATTGAACTGAATGTATATGTCAATATGTTTAAAGGAATTTCAAACAAGGCCAGAATCAGGTTATTCCACTGAACATATCAAAGAAGAAATGCACTAAGAATCATCAAGGG